GTTGACTGATAAAGTATTCAAGTACAGTAATGTAGCCCTTGGCTGGAGTCCTTCCTGTGCCTGGAGATAGTAACCCAATCTCTAAATGTTTCTAAAGTTAAGGATCCCTCTTTACGTCTCCTCTGGCCCCCTCTGAGCTATGCCTGCCTCCTGTGGACAGTCAGATGGCTCCCATTTTGCTCACCACTGGCTAAGAACTCCTTTTGAAGCTAATGGGCTTTCTTCTCTTAATTTTCTGCTTTTCTTTACCTCCTGTGTTCTAGACTGGTGTGGGTATATTTTGTAATCAATCAATCTCTGCCTGTAACAGTTTTTTTTTTTTTCTTTAATACTTGTTCAAACAAATTCAGATAAAGGTGTCCATTTGTATGCAACAGGAAATGCCTGTCTCCTTTTCAGATATCCCTGTAAATACTTCAGGCTGATTTCCTCTGCAGTGAATGGTGACACTAGGTCAAACAAATATAAATGCTCACTGCTCTCTTTCAAGGATTTAGGAGTTTGTGGTACATTCAGGTCCACCCTCACCTCCTGCAGGAGAAGGGATTAATTTACCTGGTCCTACCATCCAAAAGCCTTCATTAATGCATCCTTGCTGAAGGCTTGTGCAAGGCATAGTCCATACAGGTAGGGGAGCTCAAAGCTCCTGGCATGTGATGGAATTCTCCCATCAAATACAGTTGTGTCCTCATGGTGTCTAATCTTTGGGACTAGGGGTCATCTCACCTTTGAGGAGATGAAGGCATGAAGCTGTGTGGCTCTTCTCATTACAAAGAGACATTCTGACATATATCTCAGCTCTTGCTTTATCCTGCTCAGAAGTTGATGGCATTCTGAATTAGGCTCTCTAGATGCCTTTGCTTTCAGTCTGCCTCTTTCCTTTGGAGTAATCCAGTTTATTATTAAATCACTGGTGGCCACAATCATAAATCCAAGTGCAGAGAACTGCATTTATGTTCTAGAGTGTTTATCAGTCAGTAGTCACTTTGGGAATGTATCTCCTTAGGCACAAATAACCCGAGGAAAGGAAGAACAGAATTCCCTATGAATGTTTGCTTGTTACGACTGGCTTTGGCCATGGAGATCTGGGTGCAGACTTGATCCTTGTAAGACTTTGTGAGAAATTTGAGCTTAAGCCTGCCTTGAAACACAAAGAAGTGCACCAGGCCAGCGTGTCTGCTCCGTGAGGGACCAGCATTTCAGCTGCAGCCAGGCACAGCCCCGCCGAGCACGAGGCCTCTGAGAGCAGCACTGCCTCAGACACCACCACCTCTTACCTAATTGCTCTTGGAGAGGAAAACTGGGCTGAACTAAGAAGCATCCTCATGGAAGGAAGTCCTCTCCTCCTCCCAGCCATGCACAGAAGGCCCCTCAGACTTGGAATGACCCCAGGCCCTGGAGCTGCAGCAGCAGCTTTGGCACTTCTCTCTCCCGTCCTCATCAGGCACATCCCCAGCCACGTGGGCTCTTTCCTGCTGGTGGGCAGGTTGTGAAAGCGCAAATGCAGGTGTCCACCCTGGCCTTTTGTAGCAATTAACCTTTACTCCTGGGATTCCTTTGAAGCTTGCTCATGTTTTTATTGTAAAATAGTGGTGAAGAATTTCATGGAGACTAATATCTAAGCTTCCACACAACCTAATCTCATCTGTTCCCTTATCAGTGGCCTCAGTTTTTATTTCATCCCGTTTATGGTGGGGATAATTATTGGAGTTTAAAGAGGCCATCTTGAATTTCAAAACTGGAGTGCTATCTTTGTGAACAATTTGCAGTTCACTGTGAAAATGATGCTTATCAGCACAGTTCCTGTCTAATTCTAACCTTACAAAGTTCTTCTATCAGTCAATATCCTATGGTTTTTCCTGGAAGTCCCTCTCATTCATGTGGGTGTAAATTTTAAGAAAAATAGTTATACACACTTTGAAAGCTGAGACCAGAACCTTGGTTCATGTACATTGATTTAATAGAGCTGCTTCTATCATTAACGTCACAAATATGTCTTAATGGTCTTCACATCTCTTGGTCAGTCATAATTCAACTCTGTGTCTATTTTGAGACTTAAAAATATATTTTTTTGCTAGAATACATCGCTGTTTCAGGCAAAGGACAATTTCAGTAATCCATTTTACCCACACTTTGAGCTTTGGGGCATAGAGGAGTGTTATATTTTCCAGAGCTTCCAAGCTGAAAGCCCGTGTTTAACGACGACATCGGGTGTGGCTGCTGGAAATCAAAGGAGGCACAATAGACCCAGCAAACGGACTTGTCTCCCTGCCAGGCTTTCAGAGGCCAATTTATCAGCTGCAGGTTTGACCCTATATGGCTAAAAACAAGCGTAGCCAGGATGACTGAGATAAGTATAACTGAGGCCTTTGAGTCTGCGAGAGAGAAATTAAACTGGACTGTCCCTGGGGAAGATGAAACATCTGTAAAGCTGTGCTTGCTGAAAGTTTAAGGCTCAGCTTGTGCTGGCTTGTGGGCAGGCACCGCTGGCAAGTGGAGCTGAGGAAGGTGGCCCTTTGGGACAGGCACACAGCAGGTCATTGCTTGCTGTGACTTAAAATACTTGGCTGAGATACTCTGTTATTTTGTGAAGGAGAGTTGACTGTGGGACACAGAGAGCCTTGGTTTTATGGGATACTGCTTGGCAGGACAGGGGCAACAGCAGTGACTGTATGAGATGGGCTTTTTAAGGAGTTTGAGTGTCAGGCACCCAGCTGTCATGGAAAATCAGTGGGATTTAGATGCCTGAAGTTTTTACCCCCGGAGCCCCCCTTCAAGTGAGCCATGTGCTTATCATCATCCAGATCACTTTCCTTGTGTGATTTCTCTTCCTGCACCCCATGTGTATACATGGGTTAGGGTTTCTTTTTTTTTTTTACCCATTTCAAAAACAGCTGAAGTCTTTTAGGCAGGACTGCAATCTAAACAGTTGGAGGAAGACATCTGAATGGGAGCACGCCTCCCCAGGGTGGATGCAGCATTGCTGCTGGCCTGCAAAGTCAGGGAGCACGTGCAAGATTTGGGGGATGCTCAGGAGGTGTGGATGGACCTCTGTCACCTGTCCCACCATGCTGGAGCAAAGCTGTGTCTGGGGCTAGCAGCAGTGCCATGGTGTAACAGAGGTGGCTGCTGAAGGGGCTGTCTCAGTACAGGGCAAAGTGAGTGGTGGCATCCAGGTAGAGATGTGTCTTGATCCTTTCCATGCCCTCTTTCCTGTCCTTTGGAGTCCCAGATAAGTGGTGCTGGGGACAGGTATGGCATGGGCTCACCGAGAGCAAGCTCTCTGCACCAGCACTTTCACGAGCCCTTGAGCATCATTGCCAAAGTCAGCTATGACTGACTTTTCTGAACCACAAGCAATGGGAAATCGCTCTCTGTGTCCCTCTCAGCTAAATGGTGGAGTCAGTCAAGATTTTCTACTTCTCAGAATGCTGGGTATTAGGAAAGTGACAAACTGATCAATATTGGCTTCAATTCTTAAAGTGCAGGCAGAGTCTGCCAAACCGGAGGCTGAGGGGACGGGTAGCTGAACTTTCCTGTGACATGTATGAGGTCATAGCCAGTGCCACATAAAAGAAAGAAAAACAGTTCATGGCTGTGAATAAATTGCTCACAGATGAAGAATCCAGTTTGCCAGTCCAGTGATGGGAGCAATCTATTCCAATGATTTGTTATGTCCCAGTGTTTGTCTTTGGCAGTACCAGAAGCATGAAAGTACAGATATAAAACCGTGAGATAATGTGTAACAAAGATGTGAGAGACAATGGGCTATGACCAGTTTCCAGTGGAAAAGGCATACGGTGCTAATCTACCATGGATAGTTTCTTAAATGAGCAAGAAATTGAAAGAACATTTTAAAGTTTCCTGTTTCTTCACTGAAACAGAGTCATTCTGAAAGCCAAGCCCAGTGTAACGCTTTAATTTCTGGGCCAACCATATTATGCAAATATTCTCAAGCTCAGGTTTTAAATACCTGATCTCTTAGTTTCAGTCCTTGGAGAACAGTATTCTCACCTCCTATTTAGGTTTGAATTAAGTGGAATGAGTTCTTGTGTGTATAAAACCCCAAGAACGTGAATAAGTTAAATGAATATAAACAGTAAAGAAGGCTTTTTTGGCTAGTTTTGCTGTTATGACCCTTTTGCATGTATAGTTGAGTTAAGCACTGTATTGCTGGTGCATAAAGCCCTTGCTGAAGCAAATCTGAGCTTCTGACTAAAAGGAATTTATAATCAGTCTTACATTTTAGGCTGTCAAAAATAGTGAGTTTTTCTTTTTTTTT